CTATTAGAAATAACAGCCATAATAATGAGAATGACAGTAATATGATAAGTAATAAAAAGAAGCCATAAAAACAGGAAAAAAATTAATCAATCTACATCAGAAGATTGCATGGCATATTCTCTGATATTGCCACAGGCAAACTAAATTAAATGATAAAATCTACTTTATAATAAAATGCCATAAAATATTAAATCCACATGCTAAAGAATATCCTGTTGATTTTTTTCCTTGACAATGTTTACCTTGATTTCTATTCTTCCTCTGTGAGGAAAAAGCTGACTAATCATCGAAAAGTCAGTTCCTACCATACTTATGGCTAAGAAAAACATGTCTGTTTCTGTAATAAAAAAAGATAAAACATGTTTAAAGCAACTGTCATTTTAACATATCATATTCAATCTTAACTCAACAGATCATAAATTAATCTAAATTTCAAAGTGGCATTCTTTTCATAATCATCATAAAATGGGCTGTATTTCACAGTTGGAAATTATATGATCTGCGTTACTTAGAAGTGCCTCCAGAGTCTGGCTGTCAGTGTCAAGCACTACAGAAAAGGTGGTTCTTTATTCCTACCTGAGTATCCAGGAAGGATCTGGGGCCTTTTGCATTGTTGTTGTTGTTGTTTAGTCGTTAAGTCGTGTCCGACTCTTCGTGACCCCATGAACCATATTGCGCCAGGCCTTCCGGTCCTTCACTGCCTCCCTGAGTTTGCTCAGTTTCATGCTCATTATTGAAGAATAACTAAGCTTTTTTTAATATCCTAAACACAAGGGTTTTTTAAAGTTACTCACTCCACATGGTCATCTTTGGAAAGGAACTATATATCTCCAAATTTACCAGCTAGAGCTGGAAAGTTACATGCTAATCCTAATCTTGATCTATGAAAAATTGCCCTATTATTTACCAGGTGTAAATCTCCTGATGAATTATTTCAACAAGCATTGTTATTTCTAATTCTGTATAACTCATTAAAAAAGACAGAGAATTGCACAGGTCTGAGATATTTAGAAGTATTTTAAAAGGTAATGCTTCTTATTGTGGAGTCCTTGGTGCTCTCTGAGTTTGGTTGTTTGCTTGCAGATGTTTCATTACCCAACAAGGTAACATCATCAGTACGAATAAGTGTGGGGTTTCTCCCTGTTTATATACAGTATATACCCACCTTTTTCTGACCATGGTCTAGTATAATAGCTTTTCCTGAAACTTGAATATGTTGTTGTAGAACCACGCTCAAAGATGGGATCATTTTCTTCCACTACACACTGTCCTTTTGTCCTTAAAACCTCTACAGTTAAACTAAATAGGAACAACAAGAAGAAAATAAATACAAAAGAAATGCAGTAAGAAGCAAAGATATATTAAGAACAATTGTCTTAATAAAAATGGAGAACATTTGCTACCTGTGTTAAAAATACAGCAAAAGGTATAAATGTCCAGGAAAGAACAAGGAACTTATGAAGGATTTTTTTGCCCTCAATATTCCTAAAGCACCTCTTCAATATTTAGTTTCACCTTACATTATCTTTTCATGAAGACAAAAATATAATTCAGTAAATTGTTTGGAAACCCTCCCTCCAGATACAGGACATTGATTATGTGTATAAGAAACACTTTGTCAAAGAATACACATAATTATCCTATAGAAGACCATTCAGAATTAAGTTCCAGAGACTTCAATGGGACTACAGTATACGGTCATAGGGTATAAATCTTAAAAAGAAAAGCAAAAAAAGGGGGGGGGACAGTTTGAAGGCAGGAATTAGCAGATTTTATTTATACACTGTCAATCGTAACAAGTGAAGCTTTACCGCAAGTACCAAAATATCTTGATGAATACTGAGCACTTCTGTAAATGGATACCAATTTTATAAAGCAGGTGCTGATTGCAAAACCTAACCTTTCTTCATCCAGAATAATTGAACCATCTTCTGCAACTTTCACTCGAGGGACTAAAAGAGAGCCATCATCCTCTCCTCCTCCCCCTCCTTGTTCTTCATCATCTTCTTCTTCCTCATTTTCATCATCATGTTCAGCAACAATTCTTTCTTCAGACCTGAAATTTGGGAAGCTAATAGTTCAAACAGCACTCAGCTCTTTCTATATTTCTTTTTCAAAAACAGTGGCATTAAAAGAATCATTACATCTGTCTCATTTTTTTTCAGCTGGCTGAAGTATAACTTTCTTCTGGGTGTGTGTGCACATATTCTAACACACTCCTACTCTTAAGAGATTGCATCAGAACCTGCCTGAATAATTGCATATTTACACAAATATAGACTTAATGCCACCAGCTCTAAACTATGGCTTAGGCACTGGATATGAGAATGCACTATGGGATTTATTCCTTAGCCCACCGCCTCTTGCATGCAAATGCTTCTTGCTTCCATTAATCATAGTATGGAATTATTTATGCATTAACCCTCAGGCACTTCTAACACAGCATTCCAAATCAACATTTAAAAGTTGGGTTAGCAATGCTACCTCAGAGTTGAATTAAACTTGCTTAATTGCAGTATATAAAAATAATGGTTACGTATTTAAAGGATGCATGAAGAAGTGGTAATTTATAAGCAAAAGGAAAGGAGATTTCAGAGCTGAGCATTCATTCATGCTGCTTGCCCCTGATTTTTAATTATAATTAATAAATACCATTATATCCAAACAGGTCCAACTAAGATTTTATCAGAAGGGCAACAGATCACAATTAATCTGCAACAGATTACTAGGATTATGTTTTAAACCAATAATTTAGTTTCAGCAATATTAAGCAAACACATTTTTTTTCTTTTTACAAATTCCTCCTTATTACTGATCACATATTTCATTAATGCTATTTCAAAAAAGAAACAGAAAATTACTCTTTTGCTTGGGCCACTGTAGAAGTCTTTTCTGTTTTCTTTTCTTCAGCCAATGAAGATCTATTAAATATTGAAAAGCACATACTTATTCATTTAACCTAGTGAACTTGTAAGTTTGACAGTGCATAGTGCAAATGCAATTTAATTGTGTTATTGACCATGCTAACTAGAGTGCACATTTTCACACAAAAAAATTAAAATTTAAATTAATTTATTCATATAAAGTTCAATAGGACTGAACTAAGTTAAATCTACATGGTTTCTCAATTAGTTGAGAATTCAATTAGTGAATCAGGATAATAAAATAGAAGTCTGATCACTTCAGATTTCACAATATCACAATAATTTCCTGCAAACAACAGACAACACCAAGATTTAGGTCCACTTACTTAGGAATGCCAAACTTTCCACAAAGAATAAAAAACAAACAAGAGCTATCTGAAGGTTTTTTACATACCAAAAAAGAGAACTACAAGCCATTGATTTCAATAAATCTTGTCCCATAACAAGCATAATGAAGTTCCTAGCCATTTTTGTTATACTTCTATTCACTTGGCTAGAAGACACTCTACAGATGCACTTCTATATAAATCTACATATAGACATATTAGTAATTTATAGAATAACATCTGGAAGCCTATGTTTTATAGGTAACAGTCATAAATCAAAATTGTTACACTGAATAACAAGAACTTTCTTTCACCTTAAAAAGTAATTAAAGTATTGGAGAAGACAGACCATGCAGTACAATAAGCCAGAAATTTCAAATGAATAAGCTAGTAGCACTTCTTCCTGAATTGCTCTTTTTTGGCTTCTGCTGCCAGTGGGAACAGATAGGCAGATCGTGAAACCATGTTTTTTAAATTGTGGAGTCTTTGGTGCTCTCTGAGCTTGGTTGTTTGCAGACGTTTCATTACCCAACTAGGTAACATCATCGGTGCTACTGAGTGTGGGGTTTGCTCTCTGTTTATACACAGTAGCTTCCCCTGCCAGTGTTGGTGGGGATGTGGTTTTCTTCTTGGTAGTTCCTTGAATAGGGTATTGTTTGTATTCTGCTTGATTGCTTGTATGGTGTTAATCCCTGCTTATCTGGGTGTTGGCTTTTTTAAATTATGTCTTCCAAATTGGGATACTTGATTTGTCCCCTGTTGTGTCTTTCAAGCTGAGATTTTGTTCTTAAGAATTTGAAATTGGGAACTATGCTTTGTTCTTAGCTTCTAATACTGCCCAGTATGAGAGAAACAAGCCAGTAGTTCTGGTTTGGATTGCACAATAAATTAATAATAAAATTTTCATTTTCTATTTATCTACCCTTCTGACTGAAAGAGCAAAACAAAATAAAAGTGTGGTAATACACTGATTCATTCAGAATAGTTCAGAATTCTTTAAAATTCTACCTGTGGTGGATCTTTCCATGTGGGAAATTTTGAAAAAATATTCAAAGGGTATCAAGTATATTTTAGATATAATGAAATCCTGATAAAAAGTATTACGTATTGCATTTTTATCCTACCTTTCCACTGACAGCTTTTGTACATTAGAGTCTCTCCTAATTTGATCCCTATAACAACCCTGTCAGATATACTGAGAGTGACTGACCTGGAGTCAGACAGTAAAATCTGTGGGCAAGTCGCCACAGTCAGGTCCAAACCATTAACCACTGCATTAGACTGACTCTTTATACTCTGGATTCCCAAGGTACCCAGTGACACTTCTCTTAGTATCCACCAGGCTCAGTGTCCCAGATGTTTAGTGATGTATGCCTGCAAGCCCAAGTTAACAGAACTGTTGTAAAGATAAAAGAATGGGTGAGAAACCATATAAAGCACCCTGAGATCTTTAGAGGATAGGGAGAATATAGATCTAAAGAATTAATAAAAACAATTTATATCAATATTACAAAAGAAAATATGTACTTACTTCATAGGATTATTTTCAGGCAAATAGTAAATAAAATCTCTCATAATCATTTTTGAGCGATCTTCTGGCATATTTTTTTCAATTACTGGATATTTAAATTTCCGTTGTTTCTAGAAATATAAATTCATATTTATTTATAATTCTGTAGACTTTTATTTAAATCTTGTTTCAAATTTTATCATTTATATATATCTGAACAACTCTTCAGGCTTTGGCAGAAAAGCTAAGTTGCTCTTTTTGTGTTGCCTTTTAAGAGCTTTTTATTTGCCTTATTCAGTTGCTGTCTTGTTTTATTTTTCTATTTTACTGAAATAATTTCATCTGCTATTATTTATTATTTTAATTTAACAATTATTCTCATATATTTTATAATGTTGAGAGATGGAAGTAGAAAAGCAGGATGTAAGTATAAATTTTAAAAATGTATATGTGATATAATTAAGCCATAATTAATTACCATTAAATGGAACTTTATCATGTCTAGTTCCGAGGACTGTAATCAAAAATCTATCAGAATGAGTTACAGCATTATATAGTGAAGAAATGTAATAACTCAGGGATAGAACAAATATTGTGCAGTCCAGAGATCCTCTAACATCTCCAGTTAAAAAAGAAAAAAGGATCAAATAGTACATACTATGGAGGGGCTCCATCCAAACCTTGGACCACTATTGCCAAACAAAGTAAAAAATTCTGGGCTAAAAGAATAAATAGTCATACTTGCTCTACAGAAGTTTCTTTATGCTTATGAACAAAGGGCACAACTGTAAAATTTAAGTATTTTCTTTATATCTCCATATACTGCCACTGACATTAAGCAAGCCTTGTAAGATCTCAGTAATTAGGGCTAAAATTTTATACACATTTGCTTTGGAATAATTCCCAAAATTTCAGCCACATTATTTCTGAGTTTACTTGCATAGGATAAATGTGTAAATGCCCAGAATTTTATAATTATATAAATTAGTTTTCCAATTAAAAATATTTAACTTTCCAATTAGGAATATTTAGTTTTTGTATAAAGAAGCTTTATGATAATCAGCTACATTGGAAAACTGGATATATTTCAGCAATCTAAAGCAGAGAAGTGGAACACAGAGAAGATCCCACCATGAGCTCCTGAATATTAGTGTCGATCAATTACCTCACAATAATACATAGTATTATGTTATAGTTACAGTATTGAAAAATCCAATCATTTTAGCAATATTTCATCTTTCTTACAGAAAAGCAGTTCAATATTTTGTAGAATCATAGAGTGTACAGGTTAGAATGGACCTTGGGAATCAGGTTTTCCAACTGCCAATGTCACTTAGATTAAAAAATCCAAGAAATAGTAAAATGGCTTCAAATTAAGCATCATTCTACTATAATTGATATTTTACACAGAGGATCTGATTTAATATAGTTAGTTTATGCTGCCATATTCATACACCAGTTCACCTTCTATACACATTCACCTTAGATGGAAGAGAGATATAGAGTGGGTGAGCTCAGCCTATTGATCTCGCGTTGACCTAAATCCCCAAGTGTTATTTACCAGAAGCATCAGATAGATATTAAGAAGCATGGGAGACAAAACAGAACCTTACGGTATCCTGCAGCTTAAATGAACAGACATCATTAATGCTACTCCATTACTTCTGTAAGACATGATGAACCTCTTGATGTCATAAAATGGCTGTACCATATAAAATGTATTATAAAGCTGTTGAAAGCTTATAATCTACCACCAATATTACTTTAGGTAGGCAACTTAATATATTCCAGATGTTTAAGATTACAACTCTCACAGGTTTTGCTACTGACCATGTCAGCTAGAGCTGGTGGCAGGAACTGAAGACCAAAACTAAGTTGTCTACTTGGAACAGTATTGGTACAGCGTAAGCTGCCAAAGGCCTTACTAGTTTATAGCTTTATAATATACTTTGTGTAGTACTTCCTTATTATAACAAGAGGTTCTTCACTTCTCACAGGTGAAGACTGCTTTAGCTCAACAGCAGGGCCCAAGATCTACATGCAAGAGATTACAGGTTGAAATCTATTATCTCCAGATAATGATAAAAAGTCTTCTCTCTGGAAGGCCAGGTTAGGGATAGATTGTCATGGAGAAGATCTATATGGTCACTAGGAGCTGAAAATGACTTGATGGCACATAACAAATCAATCAATCTCTGGAATCAAGAGATTCTGCCATTCAGCACTGAAAGAATATCAAGCTGGAAAAATCAATGATCTGATTCACTACATGTATAGGATAGCTTCCCCACAAAAAACAAGCTAGAGCTCTTTCTATTTCGTTCCCTGGTATTTCATATTAAAATTATAAAAATATTACTGTACCTTCTCTTTCTTCAATTCTTCTTTAAGCATCTTCCTTAGCTTTTGAGTTTTGATTATTTTCTCACGATCTGAACAATTCCTTTTCTTATTTGCTGAAGCAGATTTTGACTGTGTTGTTTCATCTTCCAACAAAGTTTCCTGTGTGGGTCTTTCTTTGAGCGGTGAGCTTGTGTTCTTTGGAAGGGCTTCATCACTTCTTTGAGCTGGCACACATGCGCTGGGTTCTTTATTAGCAGGTTTTTTAAATGGAGAGAACTGCGGCACTTGAGGAACAGGAGTTTTCTTTTCGGGCAATATGGGAGACTTGGGAGAACTTTCCACATCAGTCTTTTCAGGTGAAGATGCTTCTTTTTGAAACAGAGGGTTATCAAAGGCAGGAGAGTGAGGTCCTTGTTTCTGAGAACATTTTGATGTCAAATCAACAGTGTGATGTGTAGATGGAGGTATAATTCTTGGTTTTATAAGGTTAGGCATAGTGGATATTCGCTTTCTTCTCTGTGGAAGTACTTCTGCATGTTTCCTACAGTCTCCATCTCCACTTATATCACTGGTCTTTTCATTTCTGGAAAATTAAGAGAAAAATTAACTGGTAACAAAATTTCTTTGAAATATAGTTGGGGTAATTATACTATATTATAGTTAACATAAATAATTATGCTATATTATAGTTATATCTCATGGAAAAAATTCATGCTCTTGGATTGAATTTGAGGCTTAAACAAATACATTAGTACTCTATAGTTAAACGAATATAGATCAATAAATCAATTTCCCAGAAACACAAGTAAGCTCATTATCAGCAAATATTTATTTGGTATATTTATACCCCGCCATGACTAGTAGAAAAAATGATACAATAAACAAGGCAAAATACTATGATTTTACAGTGCAGGTTCATGAATCCAGCAAAGGACGTAGTTATTTAATAAACTGTTCTGTGAATATTTTGGGGTTCTTTCAGTTTGACTCTATACATAGTAACTCAAAAATAACTGCTACTGAGCTCAGTGGGACTTACTTCCATGTAAGTGTACAATATATTACAATTCTACAATTCAATCCTATGCATGTCTGTTAAGAACTACTGAATCCATTTTATTTTTATTTTATTATGCAAACTGATTTTAAAAGGTACAAAGACATATACAGACATTAAAGTATCATGATGACAAGATTAATAATAAAAAATATGTAAATAAACAGAATTTCAACAACTTTGGCCATATTCTTTGAATATGTAATGAAAATTGACAAATTCAGTTACAAACAACACATATCAAAAATCCATTGCTGCAAGTCAAGTCTTGATTTCTCCTTTTAATGTTATAGAATAAATATTTTAGCCAATCCCATGTCTGAAAAATACACATTTCTTGGTATCTTGATGGATTCCAAATATCAGGGATATAGCCGAGAACATATACATCTTTAACATTCAGCAATTGATCTAGAATCATTTAACAATCCTGTTGATATCAGCCCCAAACCCAACAATCATAGGACATGACCCACCATATGGGTTATTCCTGAGTTACATCTCCAACAGCAGGGTGATTGCAACCAAGCTTCATCAAACATTCTCTGAACCATCCAGTATATACAAAGCAAATGTTTAAATTGCATTAATTTAATTTTAAGATCATAGGAAATGAAGTTCAGAGTAGGATATTCAAGCTCATTATTCTCATGGTCACATAAATAACAGAAATCAATTTCATCAATTCACTAAAAAGGCTACTGACTTAGCAGCCACAACCCCTAACTTCTGTGGAGCTTCAGAAGCGGCAGTTGCATTTGGATCAAATAAGCTAGGTGTCAGTTGAATATACTGCCAAGAAGCACTCTTGAGGTAAATCAAGTTACTTTAATTCAGCAAAGGTTTTAAAAATTGCTTCCTCAGAGATGAGTTGATCCAAAGTAATAATATTATGATAAATCCAGTTTATCCCTACCCCAATAGATTGAGACTTTATTTTTAAATTGGTTTATCCCATAAGGTAATGGGATAATGGGTTCAAACTTATATCTGTAACCCAATACTCACCATGTATGTCTTGCAGCATTAACTGCAAACACTGAAACTGATACTTACACAAACAGGAATCCCAATACTTGCCAAGATTTCAATGTGACTAAATAATGACTCTCAAGTTGAGCCTGAAGACAAGGGTAAGACCTACTAATTAACTGGGATGTACTCCAGATTTGTGTGTGTGTGTGTGTGTGTGTGTTTGTGTGTGTAGGACTGCAGCCTCAGAAGGATAGTCAAAAGACCAAGCCCTTCTTTACCAAGCATTTTAAACAAACCAAAAGAACAGTTCTATTTGTAATTTATTCATACAATAAAATTTAGCAGATCTCACACAACAATCAAGTTTCAAATTAAATACATTACTTTCCTCTTAATTTATGAATAACATCCACATCAGGGCTGCAACAATCCAAACAACCCCTTAAATTGCAGCAAAGAAAGTTTCCTGTATCTATTTTCTGCCAACTAGTGATCATCTGAGTTCTACAGCTCAGCTATGGCAGTCCTACTTAAATTTTAGTACTGTACAACAGTATGACACTTTCTTACAGATTTGTCATTGTAAACACATTTGAACTTAAAAAAGGAAAAGCTGATGATCCATATCCCATGAGACATCTGACTCTACTACAATATTCCGTCAGTGCAAAACAACGCATGTTATCTAACTAACTATAAAGTTGATGTCAAAGGCCACGAGACTGGCAGGAGCCTAAACAACATAGCCGAAGTTTCTGACCTATGTATTGACAGCATTATTCATTGTAAAAGTGAGAGATAATACCTTTTAGATACTAAATTATAATTGGATCAAAGTTTGGCCAATGCAACACTTTTGCTTTATCACCACTATACCTGGAAAGTTTCTCTGCATGAGAACAAGTAGGACTTCTACAGTCTAATTAATGCCAATTACTCCTCTGCATATTCACACCACAGAATCAAGCCATCAGGTTCAAGTCCAAACAGCTCCAAGTCCAAACAGCTCAGTTATTACAACGCAGACATACAGTTCTTTCACACATCCCTTGGTGACACGTGTTTTGTTGACTCTGAGGAAGGGCATGAATCCCTACCAGGAAAAGCTTTTTCAGAGGCAGGTCCTCAAATACCGTAGTGAACGAGTGATGCAGGTCTTCAGAGGCAGGTCTAATTTCAAATGCGTTTCTTAAGTCATGTCAAAAAGACAGCAAGGAGGCTCCGATGGTTTCTGGGAAGATGACCAATGCAAAACCAGCAGTGAGGGGCTAAAAGCAAAGCTAAGTTACCTTCTACTACTGTCCCCGCTCAGGTGGAGATCTCCAGAGGCAGCGGCATCACCAGGATGGAGCATCGAACTGTCCTCGGCCGTGGAAGACCAGGTGGTCGGTGCCGAGCCATGTTGATCGCCGGCATCTGCGGCGGCGGCGACCGCCGGGACGACTGAGCCTGTGCCGGCTCCACTATTACTGCCTCTCCCTGCCGCATTCGGCCTCACATTTGGCTTCACGCTAAACCTGGCGCGGCGGAACATGATGTCGCGACGGAGAAGCTCCGGCACCAGCTAAAGTCCACCGTCGCCGGCGAGGCCGCCTCATGTCACCGGCCCCACTCCGTGCAGTTCCAGCTCCCCGCCCTTCCTTTCCGGGAGAGGAGCCTGTCAGCTGCTCCTGGACGGCTCAAGTCGCGTCATCATTCTGCGACAAAATAGCCCCAAGAGGTTGGTTCTCAGGGGCGGGGCACTGTATCGTCTGCAGTGCAGAAATGGAATGTTATGGTTCAGATTGTACTGGAGGAAGGACGGTGGCTTGTTAATTCATCCCATGGATAGTGAAATCTATGCCATTTTCTGTATTTCATTCCCACATAAATCAAAGTGTTGTTCCCATTCCCACCCAATTGCACAATTCTGTATCACTATTCTGTTTGTTTATTTTCATTAAGAAAGAATGCCTTAGCCTACAGTTCCCTTATAGTGAGAAACAAACTTGACAATGTGATTCAATATTGTATCCAACAGAATCTGGAAGATTTAAAAATGTTTTAAATATAAAACCTACTTTTGTTATGTGCAAGAGAACATGTGGCCTTGGCCATCTTAGTTTCCTTCCATTCCATTGGGAAGGAGGGACTGTAACTCCCAGAATTTTACAAGGAGACAGAAGATTGGAAAAGTTATCTTATATCTTCGCAATCTTCGTTTTTGTAATCTAAACATTTCCAGATCCTTTAACTATTTCATTTCACACAGGACTTGGTTTTCAAACTCCACACAATCTTATAGCCAGCTAACTCCAATTCCTCACTATCCTTTTTGAACAATTGTGCCCAGTATTCCATTTAGAGTCTAATTAGGCAAAGTAGAGTAAAACAATTACCCATGATCCAGACAGCAGAGTGAACAACGTGAGTACAGTTATGGAGTATTCCTTTCTACTAAACAGTACTAAACAAAACAAAACAAAACCCCCTCTCTTTATAGCAGTATTGCCTGTCTTAGTATTTTGAAACTTGCATGTATCAATATTTTAAATTAAACTCTTATAGAGACCTTTAAATAATGAACCATATTATCAGCCACATAAATGGAAACATTACAAATTAGAGTCATACTCCCAATAGTCCCAGGATTTTTCTAAATATTTTCACCTGTTTTCCCAGACTCAGCACATTAAACATACAGTTTTTATTACTGCTGTTTCTATTAGTTTTATTCTATTAGTTTTATTTGTGTAACCTCTCAAATTTGGGTCTAAGCCTTGATTTCAAAGCCTAGGACTTCATAGTCTCTGATTTTCATGAAACTCCCTATGATTGAAACTGAGTTATAACCTCCCCCGTTATAGGATTATAATATTGCTGAAAGTTAATCTCACTGAATCTTGTAGCATTTATTTCTGAATAAACCTGCATCACATATGCTATATAAATTGAATGAATGAATGAATAAATAAATAAATAAATAAATAACAACAACAACCACCAGCCTTTATTTTTAGATCGTCTTTTGAGGGCAATGTTCTATAACCCCGAACACTCTAGATTATGCATAAATTCGAATCATGCTACTCTCTTATCAGAAGAAAAGAGACAGGACAGCTAACTCCTACGCATGTTAACTTGGAAGCCACGGGAAGGACTTCAACTTCAGTCAGCTGCTCCAGCAGACTTAACCACCCTAACAAAGAAGGCTTTTCTAGGACTGCGCAGGCGGCAGTAAGACCCAGGGCGTCACTGAATAGCGCAATTCGGGACGGGAAGATGTGCGGCGTGACGTCACGGAGGCGGTCCCCTACTTAATAAAAACTTCGGCGGGTGGGGCGAGCAGAAGGTTCTGGTAGTTGAAGCGGTTGGTGGGAAGTTGGAGCTTGTAAGCATAACGGTTGTTACCGCTGGGGTTATTGTTTTGCCATGGCCCGTAAGTATTCGACGCGAGCCTCCCTTCCCCACCACCCGGAAGGCAGACGGTCCCTCGCCCCTGGTCAGTGCCCATTAGGGGGCGAGAAGGGTGGCTCAAGTGTATTGGGCCTGCGGAGCCTGTAGGCCAGAGGGAGGCGCCTCTGCCTGTTGTTCGTGGCACCTCTGTGGTGGGCGGCGATTTTGGGGTCAGCAGCCTGCCTAACAAAGTGGAAGCTACAGCGGTGCGCGTCGCAATCGTTCCTGGTTTGTGGATTTTGTTTCCGTCGCCGTCGGGGTAAAAAGATGCTCTTACAAGGAAAGGCTGGCCGGAGAAAGGGCTGCTCCGATTCCTTTCCTTTCCCTGGTGTTTACCCGCTCTCGGAGCGAGGGAAGCCGTTCGGTGTTCGTAAGAAGGTCGTGTTGTCTGCTGTAGCCCTTTGTCATCCTCTAAATCAGCGAGGTGAACTGATCTTTTCACCGAATTTACACTCAAAATCCGCCTGTGGCTCAGTATGTCTGAGAAGCTTCGCGAGTAACCTGTGAAAAACTGCTCGTTATTCACATTACACTTAGTGTTCTTCAGACCGCAGCATGAGTATTATTTTGAAATAGTTATTTTGTTAAAATTGAAACTCAGCACCATCTTGAGTATTTTAAAGAAGCATCCTAGTTTGCCTCCTTAATAAGCAGCTGTTGGTGATTGACTATAGTAATTACGACTGAACTAATGTGGACTTCTATAGAAAGATGGTTCACTATGTTCAGTTTTAAAGTTTAAAGTTACATAAGTCTAACAGTTATTCAATAAACAAATTGAGCAAATAAAATGTATGCACTACACTTGATTGTAGCTGAAAGTCTGAGAAGCAGTGAATTTAGGGTTGCAGTGAATTTAGGGTTGCAGCTTAGTGAACACTTCTAGACCATTACACTGCTTTGTGGATACCACAGCTAATCCAATAAATAAACCATATTTTTTAATGTAGAAACTTGCATTCAAAAACTGGCAGTTCTTATGTATATATTTAGATATTCTGGTTTGGAAATACAGAATGCATAGTCCTTGCTGAGCGAACTGACATCTTGCTTTCTTCAAGGGAGCCACATTTTTAAATGTGGTACAGATATCCTATATGATTATAGTGCCTCTTCGCTCAAGGAACTTAAAATTATATACGTGGTTGTTGCCTGTATAACTTGTTTATCCTTGCAACGATGCTATAAAATAGGTTAGGCTAAGACAAACTGATTCTTCTTTCTGACTGAGCATGCTTTTGTAAAATGATCTTAGAAATAAAAGGGATTATAAGATTTCAGTGTAGTAGAACATTTACTTGATGTATTGGTTTTAGATCTAGGAAATTATTTAAATGGCTAGAATTTAGGTTTGCTTAAGGTTAAGAATGTCTGGAAAGTATTGTTTCCCTTTTTTTTTTAAAGAGACTTTTAAAAATATTTCAGAGTTTCAGGAAACATTGACCAAAGCTGGAATTAATAGAATTCAACAAGATCTTATTTTCAAGATTGATTGCTAACAATAAAATATTAGATTGTAAAAATAAATTGAGATAAAGACACATCCCAATTAAAATGTGCTTCAAACAGAAATTTGGAACTGTTGGCTTCTAAGTTTATTATATTTATTTTTTATTTTTTTGAAAATTCAAATTTATACTTAATTACCAGACAGTAAACTCTATTAAAGAGGTTCAGCAAATATGCACGTGGTTTCCCTAAATTTCATAATGTCAGGTAACAAAAGCTTAAAACACTAAATTATACTTGTATTTTATGTTAAGGTGCTACAATACAGGTAGTCCTTGCTTAGCAACCACGATTAGGACCAGAATTTAAGTGGCTAAGCAATGTGGTCGTTAAGTGAATCATGTGACCAGATCCAATTTTATGACATTTTTGTGGTGGTCATTAAGCAAATCATGCAGTTCCCCATTGATTTTGCTTGCTGGAAACCAGCTGAGAAGGTTGTAAATGGCAATCAAGTGACCCCAGGATGCTGCAACCGTTGTAAGTGCAAGCTGGTTGCCAAGCCCCTGGATTGTGATCACATGAACACAGGGGGACTGCAGCAGTTGTAAGTTTGGGCACAGGTCATAAGTTACTTTTTTAGTGCCGTCATAACTTCAAACAGTTGCTAAATGAACAGTCTTTAAGCGAGGACTATCTGTAATTTTCCATGTGTTCAGCATTTTCAGAATGTTTATATTGTTACGCTTACAGACATAAGAAAGCTCTGCTAAATCTGATCATAAACCTGTCTAATCTAGCATTCTGTGTCATACTATGGCCAACTAGATGCATTTGAGAAGTTCACAAGCCTGACTTAGAAGGCAATAGCCAAATTCTGCTATCTCTTTCCAGCAATAGGCATACTGCATATGACAGTTAACAACCATCACTAATAGTTCAAGGCTATCAGTAGTTACTATCTAGTTCTTTTTTTAAAACACCCAAATTGGCTGCCATTATTCTCATTATTGGCAGCAAATTCCAAAAGTGTATTATGCATTTTGTAATAAAGTATATATTTCTGTTAGTCTAGAATCTTTCTACATTTATTTTCAATGGATGAATTTGCTAATATTGTAAGAGAATTTTCTATTTATTTTTTCAATGCATTATTCTATATGCCTCACCTTGCCCGCTGTTTTAAACTAGAGAACTCTATGTGGTGTATTCTTCCTTGCCACAAAGCTGCTGTTTACTTTAAAAGCTTATGATTACACAAAATAGACTTAATTTTTTTTAAAAGCAGAGTATGGAAGATGATATTGACGGAAATATGCAAGAATCATTAAGTAGGCAAAAGGGATTGAAACGTATTTTAAGTCCAGAGAAACAAGATAACATTTGAAAGTGGCACAAGCAGATGCCCCTTGATTCACTGCAGTATAAGAAGGGGGAGGGGTACAGCACAATCAAACTTGCACAATTCTGCTATTATAGCCAATCTCAGTAAAAATAGTTTTAGCCTTCCTGTGGAGTTGATTACCTGGTCTGATGTAGTTGGCGGGGCTGACATGTCCTTTTAAATATGTAGTGATCAGAATTGTGCATAATACTCAGTGAGATCTCGCCATAGGTTTATATAAGAGCATTATCATTTTGATCGTTCTACGTGGAATTTGCCTTAGAGCAGCTACACACTAGTTGACATTTTCATTGAGTGGGCTGTTGTGATTACAAGATCTCTTTTCTGATCAGCCACATTGTCAACTCAGATCCTGTTAGTGGAAGTTAGTTTTTGTGTGTGTGCGCATGTGTGCTAGCATGCATCACTGTACATTTGTTTGCATTGATCTCCAATTTACCATTTTGAAGCCTGTTCACTGAGTTTAGAAATATTATTTTGGAGCTTTTTATAAACCATTTTGCCTTTACCACTGTGAAGAATTTGATACTACCTACAAATATGGCCACTTCATTACTCAGCCTTAATTTCAGATCATTTACATACAAATTTTAACACTATCCCACTAATTTCTGGAGAACCCCACCTTGCACCTCTTGCCAGCATGAAAATTACCTGTTTATTCCTACTTTCTGTTTCCTATTTATCCTGTTCTCTTATACCAAGGCAATCAAGTATAGGAGCCTTTGGTAGTACAGTTTGTCAAAGAGCTAAATATACAATATTTATTGGGGCATCTTTGTCTACATGCTAATTGACAGCTTTAAAAAAAAACTTGAAATTTAGCAAGACAAAGCTTACCCTTGTGGAAACAATGTTTCTTTTCAGCAAGGCTCATTCTTCTATGTGTGTGCTTGTTTTTATTTAATTATATTTTAAACTGCTTTGCCCACAACAGATTTATTCAGGTAACTGGCCTACAGTTTATCGTTCCCTCAAGAGGTCACTTTAGTCCTATGGAAGACATGCAGATGTTTAAGATGATTTGTGAAAAGATCCATTTTGTATTTAAGTTCTTTTAAGAATTCTCAGGTGGATACCATCTGGACCTGGGTTAATTTAATTAAGTTAGCTGCTTGTCTTTTTTTATTTTTTTTCTGTATATCTAAATTCATCCTGTCTTCCTCCTCAAAAAAACAGCTCAGCATTGTCATCTGTTTCATGTCCTCAGTAGTGAAGACAGAAGCAAATAATTCAGTTTCTCTGCTCTTTCCTTATCCTTTACCATACCTTTAATACCCCCACTGTTGATGGCCCAGTGGCCTCCATGATTGGATTCCTATTCCAAATCTGAAGATTTTTGTTTTAATATTCTCTGCTATGTGTTCTTCATAGTCTGTAGTTACATACAATATTTTATCAATTGGCTATATACAGTGCTTTCGGAAAGAATTCAGACCCCCTTCACTTTTTTCAATTTTATGTTGCAGCCTGATCCTACAATTGTTCAAATTCATTTTTTTCTCAATCTATATTCAGTACCTCATAATGACAAAGTGAAAACAGAATTTTAGAAATGTCTGTCGATTTATTAAAAAGGAAAAGCTGAAATATCACATTGGCATAAGTATTCACACCCTTTGCAACAACACTTGAAATTTAGCTCAGGTGCCTCCCATTTCTCTTTATCGTTGCTAAGCTGTTTCTACACCTTGATTGGAGTCCACCTGTAGTAAATTAAATTGATTGGATATGATTTGGAAAGGCACACACCTCTCTATAGAAGGCCTCACAGATGAAAATGCATACTGTATCAGAGCAAAAGCCATGAGGTCAAAGGAACTGCCTGCAGAGCT